TGGGAAAAATTTTATTCCCTAGTGACTTATAGTAGTATAGATAAAGGTCATCCTAGAAAGGCCATTTAAAGACAATAAAATCTATAATAATAGAAGCATAATATGCTAATTAGACAAGTGGTTAGGGGTGATGAGGCAGGTAGGCAGAGTGGTTAGGGGCAATCAGGCAGACAGGCAGGCAGGCGAGTGGTTAGGAGCCAGTGGTCCTGGATTGCAAGAGGGATGTCTGACACAGGGATCCCTGAGGGATTGGGGCTAAACCAGCAGTCGGACATCCCCCGAGGGGTCCCAGATTGGGAGAGGGTGCAGACCGGGCTGAAGAACCACCCCCCCACACACACAAATTTTGTGCACTGGGCCTCTAGTAGTACTTATAATAAATCAAATTTCTCAGACAGTTCTGTGCTTACCAAGAGCTACACGTTATAAGAAATAAGTAAGAACACTTGCAGTATTTTGTACTATAAGGATGTGTCATTTTTGAAAGTATCCCAACTTTTTACATAGAGAAAGCACTCTGCCAGCTACTTAAACATTTAGGGTTTTTAAAAAGAAGAAATGTGAACATTTTTTAATCCAAGGATTTTCTCAGTTTTATTCATTTCTCTTGACTAAAGTTTCCTAGAGGAAGTATGTGGGGAAGTAATCTAACATGTCTTTAAATTCTTGAAACCATTTAAAAAAATAAACCTTTCAAAATGATTTTATCTATATTTAAGATATTAAAATATATATCAACTCTTAATAATCAGGAAAAAGTCATCATTTACCGAGTCCAATAAGTTTAAAAAATTTTAAAATATATATATTTAAGTAATTTTATGACTAACTTAACAGAAGTATGAGGAGATAGTTTAATTAAAAACTGTAATAAGAATTTAAGCATAGTAAACAATTTTTATTTTATATTTTTTAGATTTTGAAGTTGTATATACATGAAATGGGCAATGTTGGTTGAATGTAACATCGCCTGTTATGCAAGAATTTGGTACATGCTCATCTTGTAAATAGTGACTCCAGATTTAAATATATTTTTATTAGGTTCCAGCTTATCATTACCAGTACTTCTGTTTCTTCTTGCACTTGTATCACCAACATGCAATACTTTTTAAAAACTTTGATGACATGATTTGTTGAAGAAGGGTAGTGATTTAAAAAAATTTTTAATTTTTGGATTTATAAATGTCAATTAGAATGATCAGTCCATTTTTTTTTTTCATTTCTACAACACTTATTTCCTTTTAATCACCTTTGCATAGAAAACTGTCTTCAAATGTTTCACCTTAGGAATTATATCAATAGATTTTGGTGGATAAACATTAATAAAGGTGAAAGAATACTGCCATGTCATTCATTTAGCAAAATTAGATGGTCTGGCTTCTCATAAAATATTGCATGATGAAGCCCTTTCTGTTGAATAAGGGGGTGAGAATATTGTACTTCCTTGTTGTCCTTAGAAATATATGGTTCATTCATATTTTCTTTAGTTTGAGAAAACTCATTTTGAATATGCATCTAAAGAGTCATGGTCTGAGATTTTGCTTAACTGATCAATTTCATCAATATCATTAGATCTAGAGTATGGTTATTTGTCTCTTTGCATTCACCTGTGATTCCTTTAATAAGTATGAAAATTCTTATTAATTATCTTCTATTTACCATATGGCTAAAATGAAAAATTATAAACTCTCAACTGTATTCATTGAAAGCCTTTACAGGTGCTGTCTCTCCAGACTTATATCTTCTTGAAACTTCTTGAAAGATGATGCAATACTTTGGGCAATGCTATATGAAAACTAAAGGATTATGCAATAGTGACAATTTTACTATTATGTTCCTCTTCTAGGTGATTCTATCATTGTTCCATTTGGGAATAACTGATTAGTGATGATTAAATAATTCCTGGGATGATAAAATAGCAAAATATTTAAAAAGATATAGAAAAAATTATATCACTAAGATCCCATAATGCATCTTAGAGTTATGAAAGGGTCCAATGGACCTAGATAGGAATTGAAAAATGTAAGTTTTGTTCTATTTTTAAAAAGTAAACTTTCTCTTTATCTCTTGAACAATATTAGGAATGATTAAAAATCATTAAATATCAATTCTTATAGGTAGAGCTGCTCAAAAAACTAAAATTTTGTCCAATGGACCTGGATGGTATCTCCATGGTTAAAGAATCATAAATTTGTAAAGACCAACTGTTCATCAGTCTAGCTCACAAGGTCAGAGTTCCCAGTCCATGCTCTCTTTGTTGGAATTGCCCCTCATTCCACAAAGGGCTGGGCAAGTGTTCTTAGAAATCCTAACACTCAAGCCACAGATAATTAATTGGTCCAGGGGTGGACAGTTGACCCAAGTTAAGATACAAATTCCTCTTTTTCCAGATTTTGAATCATAAGAAACAAACACGGGACACTGGGAGCCAGAGCCAGGTCAGAGCTAGCAGCACCATGGAGCCGAACTCCAGAGCAAAGCTAAATGGCAACGAAGCAGGAAAGAAGACATCGTCAGAGAAGAAAAGCTAAAATGGAGCGAAGAGTGTACAATCGGGACAACATGATCCAGTGATAGGCAGAAGGTGACAAAACTGACTGAAATTCCTGCAGTTTGAATTATCCACATTTTTTTTTTAACCAAACCCATTTACTGATGCTAGAATTGGGTTTCTGTTTCTTGAAAACAAGAAATCCCTAAAACAGAAATAACTTATTTTTCCCATGGCTTAAATTGAAAACCATTAACCATAGAGATACCATCCAAGTCCATTGAACAAAATTTTAGTTTTTTGAGCTAGGCATGAACTAGTAACTGCCTCTGAGTGAAAATGTACAACTAGCTGAGGAGTCAGCGCCTACTAAAATTCTGACAGTTATCACCAGAAGAACCTTACTTCCCCATTCCGTGGGAAACTGGTAGTATGGAGGTTAAGAAAAGGCAAAATAACTAAACAATTGTCTAAAATCTCTTAGCATACAAACCACATGTCACTAAAGGCAAAGCTTCTGTCAAATGTTGAAATGTAGGAATGTATTAGAGATCATTAAAATTCAGTGGCAAGGAGGGTTTTCTGTACCAGGTTGTCTGGTTAAAAGCAGACAGGGAAAAACAGGAAATTACATATTTATGTTTCATCAAGAGAAATCTTTTCTGCTGAGATTGTTGAAAACGAAGTCCAGGTAACACTTGTGAATTTGGAAAAGCTCAGGGCTCAGGAGCCTAGCTATTGAAAAGAAAGTATCCAGCAGTAGCTAGTTTAGGAAGCCCAGCTCTTTTCCACAGGATAAACATGTTGATGCCTATCAACTACCCACCACACACCCACCCCCAATTCCTAGTAAAACACGTCCCTAGATTGGAATGTAACCTGTGGAGGGCAGGACTTTTTAGGGACAGACCAGAGGGAAGCGCTTCCTGTCCTGCAAACCTCTTTCCAGTCACTTTTTCTCCTTTATTCTCTTGAGGACGGGGCCATTAAGAACAATGGGTCTAAGAGCTGAATAACAAAAATCCTGAAGGGTAGTCATTAGGTAGCCTGGTGATGAAGGGAGTAAGCTTACTCACACAGAAATTCCTGATATGCCTTTCAGTCAATGATGTACTCAAGAAAGACAATGATTGAAAGCCACTGAAGTAGCTATCACCAGAAACTTACTCTTGAACAGGCACCTGTACCAACTCTTCTGGAGGCTCTGACTCAAGTGGGTAAAGGATGCTGGCACCAGACAAAATTCGCTGAAGTGTAGAAGAGAGGACTCTAATGTCCTTTAGAGGAGCGGGCCTGCAAAAAGGAAGTCCCTCTGATGGCCAGATCCTAGGACGGCCAGACATGACTTAGGAACTTGTCTACTGCCAAGGGAGTCAAGAAACAGACTCATGGCATTCATTTAGGGGCAGACTAGTGACCTGTATATCATCCTGGTTTCTAGGTTTCTTGCCCACCTCTGTTAGCCTCTTTTTCTAAGCGATTCTTTTTATTGATGGTTTCCCTGCTTCATTGGTGATGGGATGGTAGTAAAGTGTGCCAGAAAACGCAGAGGAAGTCATTCTGGCAGGATGGTGATGACAAGGACCAGATGGAGACTGAGGGGCAGGCATTTGTAGCTGTACCTGTAATACTGGAGCACTTTAAGCAAAACTATCTTGTAGAATGAGTTTCCTCTACAGAGAAGTATAGGGTAAGAGTCAGTGGTATTGATCTAGAGCACAATCACTTCTTGAGAATGATTCGGAAACCCCATTTTTACGAGGTGACTCTATTTTTAAGGCTTCCACAATGGTTGTGCAAGATTGTGTGCACACTGCAGTCTTAGAGGTTCCTGCCCCACCATCCTGTCCACAACTGACTGAGAGCCCTAAGAGATTCAGACAGGTAATCAGCAGAGGTCAGTTGTGAGATTCTACAGTACTGGGTTCAGAGTCTGCACCATGGCAGGGGCAAGGCATGAGCAAGCCAAGGCTATGGAGACAGGACTAACATGTCACCTGAGTGGGGAAGCAGAAAGGAAGAGGCCTTCAGAGAAACCAGTTCATAGAGAATAAAGCAGATGCAAAGATGATTATGTGTAAGAGAAAAAGAATGAGGAAGAGGGAGATAAAGAAAGAGCAGAAAACAAGGAGGGTAGAGGACAGAGACAGAACTAGACAAAGAAAGAAACAGCCAGAGGCAGCTAGAGACAGAGATAAACTGCTAATGACTTTCCAGACACCACAACCTTCACCTGTACTTCCTGCAATTAAGTTCCATATTTCTGTGTGTATTTTTTAACAACTCCCCTTTTACAAACTACTTTAGGTAGACTTCTGATTCTTACAACCAAACAATTCTTGATTTAAACATCTGCTCCTTGATTGTAGCTGCATCTTTTAAGTGTTTACTTTGCAACTATGGAAATATATGTACCACCTAACATTAACTGGGGTACTAAGGCTCTCAAGGAAGAGGGACTATAATTTGTAATATTTTGCAACGTACCAAAGACAGACTTGGTTTTAAGTAGTTTTTAAACAATAACAGCTAACATTTATTGAGTACTTTCCTTGGGCCAGTTTCAAAGTTGTACATGCATGATTTCACCTGTTCTTCATGACAAACAGGCTCTATTATTACCACTCCCATTTTACAGGTAAGAAAATTAAGGCACAAAGAGAGATTAATAACTTACTCAAGGTCATACAATCAATCAATAAGGGAATAAAGGTGGAATCTACTGTTTATTTACATTAAAATTGACATTTGAAAAAAAAAGTATGCATTCATGTAAAATTCATTTTGGTCAATTAATTTTTTGTTGAATGCGTATTATTACAAAGTACTAATTTACTAATAAACTGGTTAACATCAATGTTACAAATATAAATATGGCTTTTAAATATCACTATTCAAAACAAATCTTTCTGTGGGACATACACACACTCACACAAAGATGTATTTTCAAATTAAGTTTCTTAATTTCCAAAACACCTCCTTTAAAACAGAAGGAAATAAATTCTGACAATGCTATGTTCAATGCATTAACTATTTCATAATTCATTGGGATATTGTAAGATTACTTGCTGCAAGCTGGACTCGTGTGAAAATAAACCTAGACTTCAGAGGATGTCTACATTGATAAATATGTATCCATTTAATTAATTGCAGTGTAAGTAACACACAAGTATATAGAAAAGTAAAGTGACGAAGATGAGATGAGTTTTTCATGGGAGGTGGTGAGTTGCCATGGAGTCTGCTTCTCTTGATTTTCGAAGCAGGGCTTGTTTGAGAGCACTAATTTTCTCATCAAGCTCAGCCAGTGAATAGTTCTGCTGTAAACAATAAGAACACAAATTGCTGAATAAGACTCTGAAGTATCTTAATGCAGATAAAGTGATAAATGAACTATAAATATTTAAAATATCCAAAAGCATGGTAAATGTCTCTTTTTCTCTTAGAGAATAATTTTAAAATTGAACCATATATGTTGACTCTATCATGAATTTTAAGGTATACAATAATAAGGCTTAAAATTCTTTCTCCTTATTTTTTCGTTCTCTTTCCTAATGAAAGCTCTTCTGGACCTTTTATACTTTGAAAGGATTATAAAAACTTTTTAAAAAACTACTGATTATATTAATAATCAGTAGGGAAAAAAATTAAAGTTTAGGATTAGCTTAAGTGCTTAAAATACCTAGAAATTCTCTTTTTATGGATCAACTGCAATCAACTACCTCTCCTGGAAAAAATGGGTGCTCTTAAAAATTACTCAAAATTGTACAATAAAAAAAAAAGTAACATGCTACTCTTAAAAAATAAACCAACCTAAAAAATTTTTAGAGTTTTCCCCAACTTTAAATTTACATCACCACCATTGAAGGGTAGCAAAACCTTACAAATTATGATTAAACTAATCTATAATAATAAAAGCATAATATGCAAATCGACCAAACAGCAGAATGACTGTCCAGACGACCATGCTATGACACGCACTGGCACCAGGCCAGCCAAGGTGGGTGCGATGCGATTGGTTGGGGAGCCCCGCCATTGCCCCACAATTGCCCTTCAGAGGGAAGGCCGGGCCAGTCAAGCGATCATACCCCACACCTGTTGCCAAGGGAGGCGACCGGTGGTGGGGGAGGGGGCCTGTGGGGGAGGGGGCCCAGCGTCACACAGATGGCAAGCAGTGGCAGTGGCAGAATGTGGGGGGGGGAGGGGACTGTAGGCAGCCAGGGGAAGGAATGCCCCTATAGTCTAGCAACCCCACCCAAGGGGTCCTAGATTACAAGAGGGTGCAGGCCAAGCTGAGGGACACCCCCATGCACGAATTTCGTGCACCCAGCCTCTAGTTCATATATAAGTACTGTGGACAAGGCTAGGCTGAAGTCAGCCTCTGGCAAACATTCTTCTTTGATTTAGATGCTGCTAATGAGTGGCATCTTTAAAAGGGGGAGGAGTGAGATTTAAATCACAGTACTTAAGCATTTACTATTTTTCAGCATTTTGTAACTGATATATCTTTCTACTATTAATAGCTGAATACAGACTTTTATGTTTATTAGGCCCATATGACTTATCCTACGCCCTTGAAATAAAATTACTTCTCTGATTCAAATACATTAATTTATGCTGCCCTTTTTTAGTTCTGAGTTCCAAACTATGACCTAAAAAGCAACCATAGTAGAAACTTTTAAGAAAGGTATAAAACTAATCAAACTATTTCAGAAGCTAAAATGAAAATGCAATAACTTACTTGAGGTGGTTGAACTTTTCTTCTTTTGCCAGAAAAGTTCTAGATTAAAGGTAAAAAAATATTAAATAACCAATACTTATAAAATCTAAACAATTTTCCTTTATAGAGTACTGAAGAAACAAACAATTTTCCATTATAGAGTACTGGCAGAAACAAAGCCCACAAACTCACCAAGCACTATCTGCAGCCAACAAACACTTTCTTGTGTTTTGGAAGTTACCCTCCAAAGATATTGAAAGTATATAGTAGTAACATCACAGCAACAAGCTTGTCCCTGTCTATTTACACTTTCCCATTAATTCTCAGCTTCTAATGAGGCTGAGTGTTTGTAGAAAGAGGTGCTCTGGGAATTTCCTTAGTTTCCTTTTTTATAACCTTTCCACCCCAGGATACTGAACAAAGGCAGCAGCAATATACAGGAAAACAGAATGTGAAATACCAGGCCAAGGGTTGAAAACACATATACACTGACTATAAGGGGACACTGGTTGTGTGAGCACCTATCACTACTCCTCTGTGTGACTCTGGGGAATGCAGATCCCAGCCCTCTGGTCTTGTCCGTGATGGGAATGGGCATGGGCCCAATTCTGGCCAATGACTAAGGAGGGGTCTGCTGGGGATTAGGGGGAGAACTTCTGAAAAAACTTCCTCACTTCTGGATACCACTGCACCTGGACAGGAGAAAGTGCTGTAGTCATCTTGCCATCTGCCTGAGGAAAAAGCCAACGTTAAGCAGAGCTCACAGGGGAAGAGCACAATTATTATTATTTTTTTAAATATACTTTATTGATTTTTTACAGAGAGGAAGGGAGAGGGATAGAGAGTTAGAAACATCGATGAGAGAGAAACATCAATCAGCT